CCCGTCACTTCCCCGCGCCATTTTTTAAATGAATAATAAACAATCGTAATTGAATCGACTACCGAATGTGAGTACATAGTTAATCATGGCTAATACATGTATGGAATCGTGGGCACCATTGACTTACAATTATATGGACGTCGGGTCAGCGCTAAAAAGTGTCCGCACTTGTAAGGCGCTAAAATCGTATACAGAGCGCCAAACTCCGCTTTAGTCTTCATTTGTTCTACTGACAGCGCGATACTGCGATGACATTACAATTTAAATTTCGAATAGGTTGACTTGGGACATTTTTTTCGTGGTTTTTGTATTAGACCCGTCGTCCATTTATTTGTAAGTCAATGGTGGGCACACATGAAATAAAATTACGTACCTAACGTGCACAAAAATACTAAAAACTTAACGTGACTGGTTTTCAGTGTTCATCGGTATAATGATGCAGTGTCTGTTCAAATTCTAGCCTGTTATTTTACTTTTCTAAAAACCGACTTAAAAAAATACAAACTATTTGAGAACCCCCTCCGTTCTCAATTATATTGTATTTTTTTTTGTATGTAAGTTACACGAGTATCTTATCTACACTACTTCGACATTTGTGAACATTTGTGATTCGTTTTTTTGTTGGAAATGGGGCACGTCATTAGTAGTTACATTCAAATTCGAAGAAAATACTCCACCTCTTCATCCTATCCAATTAGGGGAGGAATCTGTTTTATTGAATTTCACCCAATTTCCGTTAACCGATTTTAATAAAACTTGGCAAATGGATGCGATCTGATTGTCAAAGACCTGATTTTAATAAATGCATTGAAATTACAAATAAACGATCAGCATTTAAATTTCAAAAATAGATGTGATTCCACAAACTAATAAGGTCGGTTTGTTTAACAAAGAGTTTATAATTAAATAAAAAATTGAAGATTTGTCGCGTGTTTGATTTTGCGTTCTTGCAAATTTAAAATTTAAAAAAAACATAAGCTTTAGTAGAAAAATATGTTTTATCTATTAACTTTTCATTTAATCAATAGGAAAACTGTTACATGACTGATACATTTTCAGCCATATCTGTTTTGTCAAAAAAAGAATGATGGCATTTTGTTAATTTCAATTTTTTTTTTCAATAAAAATGTTATAAATAGGTGTTAAATCAATGTTAAAATAAAAGAGGTTACGTTATGCCTAATTATTATTTATTTAAATATAAGCGTTACAGTCAATTCGGGTAACTTTGAATCGTGGTGTAACTTTGAACGTAGTTGCGTAAAAGATTTAAAAATTTATTTTATGTATGACAATCTTTTATTTTTAGTATTGAAACTGTGTAAATCGGAACAAAATTGTTAAACGAAAGTTATGAAAAAAAAAGTAATGTTAAATTGTATTTTTTTAAACTTTCGCGGTTTTTTCTTGGCGAAAGTAGTTTGGTGTGATTTGTTGCTCAGTTTTAGAATCGGAATTAAATATATAAATCTGAATATTGACTGGTAAGTTTTGGTTTCCACACTTAAGTAGAGGTTTATATATCGCTTTTTTAAAGAATAATTTAATTTGGTTTTGTATTTACGCGTAAAACGAATTAGATTTTGACGACGTTACCAAACAGAGAAATTTGGGTAACTTTGAATGTATTTGACTGTGTTTTTAGAGAAGAGGGTAGTCTGTTTCCAGGGAGAGTTCTAAAAGTTACTCCTTTGGAAATTACTGTCTCAGTGCTCCAAAAATGCTTTTTAGGAGGTTGATCTTGGCCCTCTAACGTTGAAACATGTCAAGTTAATAAAGCCGATATTGTGAATATTATAAAAGAGCAAAGCTATCTAGAAAAGGCGGCCATATTTATATTGATGACGACATTTTATTCAAGGAGTGGGGTGAATAGATTTTTGTTACGTATTTACTCTGCCTAAAATAATAAAATTGTTATAGGTGATTCATTTTGATCTCGTTTCATAGCTAAATAAGCGTAGAATTTATTATTAAACAGAAAATTTTCATTTTCATTCGCATTAATTAAAAAATCTAAAAAAAACAAGTTTTTCATTTCAACTAAATTAGTTCGTCTCGTTTTATTATGGCAATACCAAGTCAAATGTCGTTTTTGAACGCAATGTCAGGAATATTTGGACAGATTCACATCTAAAAAATATGAATATGTCGTATAATCTTACACAAACTGTAAAATATCTAGAAAATATACGGTTTCCATATCGAAGGCTAATCTTATTCAAAGTTACCCAAAATTCAAGGCAACTTTGAATGTGACTTTTGGAACAAATCTAGAACAGTTTTGTTGAATAATTACTAAATTCCTTCTATAAGAACGAAAAAAGGGCTTAAAAGAACACTATTCAGTTAATAAAGTAATTGTTAAGAAACATAATTAAATTTGAAATTATTAGAAAAACGCAAAAAATGTTCAAAGTTACCCGAATTGACTGTACTATTCACATTTTTTTATTTTTTAGCCATTACTAACTTATTGACTATACGTTTGTTGATATAAAATGAGGGATCATCAAAATGCAACGCCGTCTTTTAAATTATTGTATAATGTATGAATTAGAGAAAGAAAATTAGTCTGTTGATACATTATAAGCGAACAAAGAGCTACGGCTCGATATCTAAAATGAGATTTTCCGTAAATGTGTGAACATAGTGAAGTTTCTATTGACAACAATGGCAAAAGCGATGTTACTGCACGTCGCGTGATAACAAGCTATCTGACTATGAACATGGGAATATTCGATTGTGGTGGTTGCAGATTCTTGTATTCGTAGTAAGTCTGTGTGCACGTTTTTTTTAAATTTTTTTATGATAACTGTCCGCAACAGTTGCAGTGCCATGCTCAAAGGGCACTGCGCCTGTCACCCTGAGATCTAACTTGAAGAGTCTCATGTGCCTGTAATTTCATCAGCTCCTTTGTCCTTCTAAACCGGAATGCAGTAATGCTCGTATTACTGCCTGGCGGCAGAAATAGATAAGGTGGCAGTACTACCTTAGACGAACTCTTTCACAAGGAGGTCTAATGCTTCTACTACATTTACGGTATTTATCATATGTCAGAGAGGGCTAGGCAGAAATGCTCTATGAAATCTATGCATCAACAATACAAATTTTTTTAGCGCACCCATGCACTAGGGGAATCCTGTATCGCGGATGGACACACAAATACACAACCACAAACTACACCTAAACTCACGAGAGAAATAAATGTAGGCCTTACAAATATTTCTCCCGGCCCGGGAATTGAACCCAGAGGTCACGCCTCCGTGGCAGTCCGGCATGGTAACCGTTCGGCCACTGAGGCAGTTCATTACTAATGAATGATTATTCACATCATTCGAATACGAAAATTAGTAGGTTACTAATTTATCATTCGAATGATAGGATTGGTAATACTAACGAATAGAATATCGAAATCATTTGCAATCGCGCATCGGTAAGGCAAAGTAACTAACAATTATAGTCACCGAATGTTTTAGGGATGTGGGATTACCAGAGAGGAAGGGTGAATATTTGATTAGAAGCCACGACGAAGTTATTTACCATTCAATGTCTACTACTCTCTCTGCACATTTAAGAGTTGGGCTTGGTGCAGTAACAACTAACCACCTCTGTGATGAAATAGTTTTTTTTTATTAAATTCTTTTAAAGATAATACAACTTGAACCAAAATGTTGTAAAAAGCAAACTCGCATATTAGCCATAATGGACTGTAAAAATAAAATTTGCTAAATTTTTATACTGAAAATAATTAACATCAATTATAAGAAATTCTAATTAATAAGTAGTATGTGGCAGAATTGCGATTAAATTTCTGTTTAGATATCATTTTAAGCGAATGTTTTAATTTTGAACTTAATTAACCTCCTTGCTTGAACTTAAACCTGACCTATGTGAGGAAGTATGTCGTGTTACACATTCAAAAAAAAGCTCAAGGCCCAAGGATGTTATTTGGGACATTATAGTCAAGTTAGCCACATTTAGCTGCTATTGCAATCGTACTATTTGCGAGTAAGTGTGAAGAAAATAAATAAATAAAGCACACACTCATAGTCCCGCACTAGGGAAACCTTGGAAACATAGATAACCATAAATTACCCCAAATGAATTTGGGGTAAAATAAAGGCAGGTTTTGCAATATTATAATATACATATTATATTATATGTATATTTTATGTATGTTCACCGATTTCTCCGTCAATTCGGGACTGATTTTGAAAATTCTGTTTTTGTTTTGTTAAGCATAAATAAGAGTCATTAGTTTTCTTTTAAGTCAATGTTGGGTTTAACATGGGTTTAACCTGAAGATTTTGACGTCTCTAACTTTTATTTGACGAATGCTCTGTTCTTCATTTGGAACCCTGAACCCAAGGGTGTTTAAATTTCAGTTTTTATTATTTCTATAAATAAAATTCTTATTTGTTCAAATAATTTTAAAATTCTCGTCTAGTTGATTTTACGTTTCGTCTATCGTGTTAACGCACCTTCACAATTTATAATTTTACAGTGTCTATTGTTTGTATCTGTAAGTTATGGAGAAAATTTTGCTGCCGAGAAAAAGGAGCTACTTTTTGTACGCCTGTGAGTATGTAAGTGGTTAGTCCTGTACGTTCTTGTAAAAGTTATCGAAGAGTTACGATCAGTGATGACGAAATCATTCTGAAGTTATTGATGAAAGTGTATTTATAACTGCGATCGAGTTATTTTTTTTATTTTCCCTTTTTACTTGTAAGATAAAAAATATTAAAAAAATATATTTTTAAACACATCCAAATAAAAAAAAATATTTCTGTTGCTTTTGTTTTTTTTGCTTTTGTTCGTTCTTATGTTTCGCATTCTTTTTCAACAATATCAAGATTTCGACTCAAAGCGTAACCGGAATCGAAGGCGTCTCTAAAACCGAATTAATCAAACAAAAAAGGCAAGATAAATCTGGAAACTGCATCTCGTCAAGGCTACCTGCGCTGCGGCGGAGCGGGTGCGCCCGCGCAAGAGCACGCGTCGCCGGCAACAGAGTCAGCACAGTCTACCCGCGACCCTCACGACGACCGCATGTGCCAACCGGTCGAAAATCGACAAATTCGATGCAACGCTAAAGCTTCGCGATATAAACAGTGCTGTGCGGTTTGATAATAGGATTTTATTAGTGCTGCGCCTATTTGGGCCATCAGGTCTCTTTCATTTACAAAGGTTAGTTAATTTATTTATTTACATTATACAATTAATTACATTAAAATTTTATGCATAATATTGTACCTCTGCAATATCGTTCTTGATACATTTGTGGCTATGTTTATTGTTGTCGTCGTTGTTAGTTCTGTTTTTGTTCGTCTTATTAAATTCACTTAAAGGTCTTCAATAAGTGGATTTAACAATATTATCAGAAACCCTTCATTTATGTTGCGCAACGCGAGCAATTAATATCAATTAGTTTATCAATTTATCTAGGTGACGTCAAACGACGTAATGGATTATCATACCTATTGTCAAGCTTGATTTAAACAAATCAATAAAATAAATAAGTATCCGTATTTAGTGTCCATAAATGTTTATGACCGCAACTCTCTTGAATTCTCTTTTGTTTGTAAAGAAGCTAATCGGCAATAATGATATTGAGAGAAAGATATGAGCGCAAAAATAATTACTTAACAAAAGGGTAAATAACGATGTATGTGCAACATTTGAAAATGAACTTAGCTCGCAGGTACATTAACGATTGGGGATCATGCCGAAATTAAAAAGATAAAAAACTTTAATTTGTACTAATGCAAATTTAAGATTGCATAAAATATGACGAAATGCATATTTACAAAAAGATAAACAGCTTATAATGGGCCATTAAATTGATGATAATAAAAATACTTTAGTTACTAAAACCCGTACTAATCTGGACAAGTTATTTTAAACGATTCCAGAGGAAGTAAGATGTCGTGACTATTTTTGAAATCGACTAAATATACATTTTAATTAAGAGAAGCAATATAAAGGGTACAATAAGTCATAAATAAATCTATGATTTTTTTTATCTGTCTGTAATAAAACTAACTATGACCATTATCAACGAACACAAGAAGATGTCACAGTCCACTACGTTGGTCCAATGCGGGTTGGAGAATCGACGTAACATTGTTCAACAAAAACAATGACAACGGAAATATACTGCAAAAAATATTTTAATTATTATTCTTGGACAACGTTTTCTGGTCGTCGTGATTTATGAATAACCTAATTGCCCCAGAAGGAGCAAATACACGCGGCATACCGTATACTAAACGGTTTTCTGGATTTTGGTGCATGATGATCAGTGAAAAGATAGTTTTATGCGAAAAAATCGACATACATTCACTGGGTGCTATTTTATCGAATTGTTTTCATTGTTCATTACGATCGCAAACCATTCCTGACCGGAGACGCACTGACAATCGCTGTAAGTTAAGTTGAGCCCGCGTCTATAATTTCAAGAGCTCGTGTTGGTAGCTATGTGCGTGAAGTTTCGTTTTTTTATTGATTACCGTTTGAAACTAGGGATTTATCTGTACTAGTATTAATTACTTACTAGGGAATTAGTTACTAGGGAAGTATTAATTACTAGGGAATCGAACGCAGAACCTCCTCACCAAGCACCCATAATGCTAAACGCTGCGTCAACGAGGTCAGTTTGTTGTTTTAGTGTGTTAATCTCCTATTCATCGTTAATTCATTTTATCGTATCACATTCCAATGTTTAATGTGTTGTTGCGTATGGCTTTTCAACTACACAATGGAGGGAATTTCGCGTCGGTTGGCCAACCACAATGGAGGGTACTTCTCCAATATCTGGGAATTACGGCTAGGCCCGCTGATAACTCCGCTTTATCAAATTAACCGTCCACACGCTGATGAAAGTACCATTGTTGTTTATCAAATTCCATTATTTCCTCCGCATTTTATTACTTGCTTGCATTAACTAGTTCATAGTTTTCTTCATCTTTGATACTAAGTGGAATGTTCACCTAGGAAAGAAATGTGTTTGTTTTTTCTTGTCATTGTTGTTTTTAATTCTATTCTTATTGTGCTCAACGCTTTCCACTGTACCCGTTTATATCGCATTGTGAGGTTTTCACGATTGCTACGTATTGGAAATTTTACTATTTTCTTTGAATCTAAAATGGGATTGTAAAAAGAATAGTTTCATATCCAATGTATCTGTTGAATCAATAACAATAAAGGACAGGAACTGACGTCCATAAAAGTAATCTTTAATGAGCAATCGTTGGTGCTTAAACAAGGAACTTATTAACTTGTTTAAAGGGCGATGACAGATCATTAAGCGCTGATTGGTATCTCGCCTTTCTTCCACACTCCCTGGGCAACATGTGGAGTTGTGTGATCGGGTGTTATCTCAAATGTCAGGTGTCGAGCGAGGCCGCATTCGCTTCCGGAGCGCAAGGCCGTTCAAGTACGCTACTGTAAACGCGTATTCGTTGGAAAAAGTTATCAAATGCCGTTTACATATCACCTATTTGCATGAAGCGCTTTGTTTCCTGGATATAATATACTATTGCTATCTGTGTTTCCCGAAACTACAAGCCTTGAGTGGTTAGGTATTTTTTAGATCAGAGGTTCCCAATGTTTTTGTGCGTGTAGACAACGTGCCAATTATTTCAGTTTTGTGTAGAGCCCTGACTTTCTAATTATGGTTTTTTTAGTTGTCTTTTTTTATAAGTTTCTCGCTAGCATTATATCAGTTGTCAAAGACACATTGAATTAAGTTTTATACATATGGAGTTCTTAGGTTTTCGCAATTGTTACGTATAGGAAATGAAACTACTTTTCAAACAATCCAACGTTTCAGCCCCTTTATAAGTCCCATGACCAGTCAACCGTGACCATGGAACCTGTAAAGGGTCCGAAACGTTGGTTTGTTTGAAAAAAACAAATATACGCGATTTAAATCCGAAATAATAGTTTCATTTCCTAAGTTTTACAGATTTATATAACCGCATGTTTTGTTCGTTGTGGAATATGTACTTCATAGGTAATTTATATATATATTACAAGAAAGTGTTATGTATTGACATAGGTATTAATTTGTGTATTGTGAATTTTTGGTTACGGTGCCACTCTCGTGGACCCCCTTTTCCTCTTTTGCTGACATGGGTTACTTGCAGGCTGGAGTGGACCTCTGAAAATGGCCAAGCGTTTTTATATAAAAAAAACCGAACTCAAAAATGCGTGGAATTACATCTATTTGCTAAGTTTTATTAGAATCGGTTACTGGAAAGTGCATGAAACCGCATTCATCCCCCAGTTTGCCACCCTTAGAGGTGGAATATTTCTTCGAATTTAAATGGTACCAATACTGAGGGTACCTCTTTCCAATAAAAAAAGAGTCATCAAAAGCGTGTAACATACATTTAAAAAAAGCAGCCGAATTGAGAACCGCATCCTTTATTGGAGTCGGTAAAAAAGCAAGTGATTAAGTTCACTTAAAAGTAAAATATCGTTAGATTTAGTGCTACTGAATTGTTTATTTTTAGCCCTCTGTGGTATGCCATATATTTTTATATCACACAATCTTTCGTAATTAAAGGTATGTAGAACAAAGAAGTAGAGCAGAAACTCGAATTAGGATTACAATGGCTTATCTATTTATTGAATAGATTAGGGCCATAAATTTAGCTAATGTCGATTACTACTCATCTACGTAACCGTTATTAGAGTCATTACGTACAGTCTAGTAACGTAAAACTGTGGTGGTTTACCAATTCATTGGCCAACGGCTCGAAATGTGGCGGTATGTACCTATTCCTCTTCTTTTTTTTATTTATTTTTGTAAATTTTATAGAATTTTTTCCTCTTCTTCTAATCTTATCGATGTCATACACTATTATTGTCGCGGCCCATGCAACGCATGCATGGGATATGTTTGACGTCGTGAGGAAAGGATTACGTCGTATGGAGAGGCTCCTTTCTTGCACCAACGTGTCAATTAAGTTATAATGAAATTTAGCGGCAAAATCTTAGAGGATGGAAAATAATAACAAAATACACAAACGATTAATTTTGATGGAATTTATTAGTTTTTTTATTTATTAAGGCTTTGGCAAAGCCATCAGCCTAAACATGAAGTTTAATTATGTTTCTGTAAATAGGGCCGCCACAAAGAGGATAGGCAATTTGAGGCGGCGTGGTTGGATTGACTCGGGATTCCTTAAAACGGGCCGATACGGGTATTTTAGTTCGAGATTCGTATAATTTCACGTTTTAATCTTCGATTAAGGCACAATAGTACTATCCTATCCCACTTTAAACTAGATTTCACAAAATAATTGAAAATCAAAATAAAAACGACACTTTTCCCTCCAAAAGGTCCAGAGCGAATTCTGGAATTTATTAGTAACGGATATGTCAAATAAAATACTTTTTTATTATAATGACTTGGCACTAGCTAACTTAAAAGAAAGACTTTTTTGGTACTGTTTTTTTCATTGTGGAAAATGCGCCATGCAGCCTAGACTGAGAGTTTGAAATTATTATAGCTATTATAATATGTACAAATAATTTTTTTGCGCGCATTTTAAGAATACGCGGTAATATTTGTAATTTGTTGTTTTATTTTTTAGCCAGGGTGCGTTAGACTTGCAATCTTAACCTTAAGTAGCAAAACCTCTCGCTATCGGAGAAAGCCAAAGAGACCTGCACGTAGAAGAAACTTCACAATCTTTGGAAAAAGTGGAAAATCCCCGACCTACATTGGGCCAGCATGGCCTTAATCCGGGAAAATGGGATATACATATAATGCGTTGATGATGGTGACCAGTGACGGAATGTTCTCCAATGTAAATATGTACCTGGATTCATAACACTGTGCGTAACAAACTAGTGGAGTTGTTTCACATAAAAATAATTGAATATCGATTCAATAAAAATTTAAATACAATAAATAGCGACATCTCTATCCGGGGCTGGTAACTGTAAAGGTATCTAACTGGGTGACGAAATGCTTTTATAGATAGCGCTACGCCTAAAAAGTCGTTTAAAAACCAATAAGCACATAGAAAAATTCGTGAGGTCCGCTGGTTCGTTCCGTGGCTTAGTTGGTATAGCGTCTGACACGCTATGCTAGAAGACGTCGGTTCGAATCCGGCCGGATCGAAGGATTTTTTATGCGTGTTCATTGCCAATAGATGTAAATTTGTCGATAGTAA